CTTTCAGACATACTATCAAACAGTTTTTGTGCATCTTCAATTCTATTACATTTCAAATACATATGAACCAACGAAGACACCAAAATAGAATAATCCATGAACCTGTCTACCATGTTTCAACGCTTTCAAACCCATCTGCTTTATTTTTCTATCATTAATTCATTAGTTATTTCACAATTAGGTTTAATTGATTTGTTTGATAGGTTAGTGAATTAGTTTGACAGGTTTGGATAAAAAATTATGTTAGTTTTGGTTTTGTTTCATGATTTCAAGCAGAAATTATGCAGGGCTGGTTGGGTTCATGATTTCAAGCAGAAATTATGCAGTCCTTGAGAAGAAGATAGAAGGAACAATAAGACTTTGTATTAATTGATTTCGAGGTGATTAATAACAACAATAAGACAGATGGCGCAGTGGTTGGGCATTTGGTGTATGAGCCAAGGATGTTGGGTTCGAATCCATGGTGAGGTGATATGTGAGATAGTTTTTTAGGCATTTGATTTGAAATAATTCAGTCAGCAAGTCCGGGATGCCAACTAGGAAGGTTCCCCACGTCCAGTCAGCCAAACATGGAATTGGGGGTTCTGCAAACGGAGTCTTTGTTTTATAGGGGGGATCACAAAAAAAAATACTTCAAGGGGGGAAATTAAAATTCGTCTTTTAGGTAGGGGGCATCGTATATTTAACCCTTTAATAAATTATAATTAATTTTTAAAAAAATATTTTCTTAAAAATGATTTATATTAATTCAACCATTAAACAAAAATAAAAAAAATAAAAAATTAAAATTAAAAACAAAAGAAAATTAAATTTAAAGATATGGATAAATATAGAACTGTCAATATGAACTATTCGACATAAACGAACCGACCCTAATGGGCTTAGATTTTTGGGTTAATACCTATTTTCACCCCTGACATATGGGGTGTATTTGAAAAATCCCTCTGCCAAAAAAAAAGTTTCAATTGTTACCTGACAAATTTTAAAAGTTTCAGTTTTTACCTTGAGGATGCCACATCACCTAAAAGGCTGATGTGGCTTATATTTTTGTTATATTTTTATTATTATTTTAATGACATGACTTGATTAGTTGTCAATTTTAATTAATTTTTAATTTTTAATTTCATATGGCATTTATATTAATATTTTATTAATTGAATGTTAATTCAAAGTTAAAAAATTTTTGTCCTTCAACAAGAATTGAACCATAGACATACAGTTTGCAGTGAACACTTCTTACAACTAGACCAATGCATTTTCTTTGTTACATATATGCATCAATAAATATTCATATCATTAACATATTAATTACAATTATCAATAAATTTTCTTAATTAGTTGGTTTAAATAATTTTTAAAAAAATGTTTTACATATTTTATCTTTTTACTGTAACTTTTTTTTAATTTTAAATTTTCAAAAATCACTTAAATTTAAAAAAATCACTTAAATTTTCAAAAATCACTTAAATTTAAAAAAATCACTTAAATTTTAAAAAATCATTTAAATTTTAAAAAATCACTTAAATTTTCAAAAATCACTTAAATTTTCAAAAATCACTTAAATTTAAATCACTTAAATTTAAAATCACTTAAATTTTCAAAAATCACTTAAATTTAAAAAAATCACTTAAATTTTCAAAAATCACTTAAAGTTTCAAAACTAAGTGATTTTCAAAACTTAAGTGATTTTTTTAAACTTAAGTGATTTTAAATTAAAGTGATTTAAATTTAAGTGATTTTTTTAAATTTATGTGATTTTTTTAAATTTAACTTATTTTTTTAAATTTAAGTGATTTTTTTAAATTTAAGTGATTTTTGAAAATTTAAGTGATTTTTTTAAATTTAACTTATTTTTTTAAATTTAAGTGATTTTTTTAAATTTAAGTGATTTTTTTAAATTTAAGTGATTTTTGAAAATTTAAGTGATTTTTGAAAATTTAAGTGATTTTAAATTTAAGTGATTTAAATTTAAGTGATTTTTGAAAATTAAAGTGATTTTTTTAAATTTAACTTATTTTTTTAAATTTAAGTGATTTTTTTAAATTTAAGTGATTTTTATAAATTTAAGTGATTTTTTAAAATTTAAGTGATTTTAAATTTAAGTGATTTAAATTTAAGTGATTTTTGAAAATTTAAGTGATTTTTTTAAATTTAAGTGATTTTTTTAAATTTAAGTGATTTTTGAAAATTTAAGTGATTTTTTTAAATTTAAGTGATTTTTTTAAATTTAAGTGATTTTTGAAAATTTAAAATTTAAAAAAAGTTACAGTAAAAAGATAAAATATGTAAAACATTTTTTTAAAAATTATTTAAACCAACTAGTTAAGAAAATTTATTGATAATTGTAATTAATATGTTAATGATATGAATATTTATTGATGCATATATGTAACAAAGAAAATGCATTGGTCTAGTGGTAAGAAGCGTTAACTGCAAACAGATGTTCATGGTTGGATTGTTGCTGAACGACAAAAAAATTTTAACTTTGAATTAACACTCAATTAATAAAATATTAATATAAATGTCATATGGAATTAAAAATTAAAAATTAATTAAAAATGACAACTAATCAAGCCATGTCATTAAAATAATAATAAAAATATAACAAAAATATAAGCCACATCAGCCTTTTAGGTGATGTGGCATCCTCAAGGTAAAAACTGAAACTTTTAAAATTTATTAAGGTAACAATTGGAACTTTTTTTTTGGCAGGGGGGTTTTTCAGATACACCTCATATGTCATGGGTGAAAATAGGTATTAACCCTAGATTTTTTAATTGGACCAAAAAGACCCTGTTGTAATATGGACTTTAAAATTATTATCCGAGTCCGACCCTAAACGGTTTCAAACTATCTGTCTCTAACAGATTTTTTTAATAAAAAATTCATAATATTTATGATAAATAAAATAAAAAATTATATTATTTTAAACATAATACATTTTTAAATACTATATTATCTATAATTACTATAATGTGTTTTTAAATACAATACATATCTAAATTATAAAAAATAATACTCAAATATTTAACATAAATGAAGCTAATAGAATAGAAGGAAAAAATATTTATTATATTAATATACAAAATTTAGTGAAATATGAAAAATTAATATATTATTTTAAAATAATATAATAAAAATTAATATAATTTTTTAAATACACTATGATTTTTCGGGCCGGATTAACTGGCACATACGGGCTATAGATGATATATTAATAATGATCCACTTGTCATTTATATTAGGGAATTTCTTATTCTATTCCATGTTTTTGCGAAATTTAAAAAATGTCTTTGAAATTAAAAATATATTTCTAATGCGCACCTCCACACACATATAATTTATTCGTTTTTAAAATTTATCTATTTTATGATAAAATTAATATCGAAAATATACTTTTTATATAAACATAAGATATATTTTCAGTTCGTATATAAAGCAAAATACTCATCAAACTTGGAAAGCTGTCAGTGCAGCAAAAGGAATGGCACTTGCTTCCTACAAGATGAAAAATTAAGAAAAAGCATGCCTTCGTCTAAAGTATATAAAGGGAGGAAATTCATGGTGGATTGTTCAATTAGAAAGCACTAATATTATTGTACAGTAAGATGTAATTACGGCAGTGATGGCAAAACCAATGAATTGGACATAACTAGTCAAAGATTTTTGCTATATCTTTCTCTTTTAAGAGTCAATTGAGGGAACAAGAAATTAGCACAGCATTGAGACTTCAATCAACCCAACCCCCATTATAACCCCGCGCACAAAGGTGATATATACAATAGGTAAGAAAAATGGAAACGAGAGAGAAAGAGCATTCCTATAAGACCAGGGATTCACTTTAGTGACCAGAAATTCCTTTAGGAATCGGGAATTTACTTCTGAGTTATACTGAAAGTGAATTTTCAATTTTGTATAAGTGCAATTTTAAAAAAAAATATACATCAGAAATATATTTTCTATTTATGAGAGACAATTTCAAAATTACAAAAGCTCTTTCTTTTAGACATGAGGTAGAATAAAAAATTCCTTATATTATAAAATTCAACAAATATATTAAATTCTTTACTTGTTATTTGAAATTCTTTAAATTTAATTTAAATAAAATATTTTTAAAAATGCATCCTTTTAACAATTTCCCTTTTTATCATATCAAAAAAGTAAATTTCAAACAAACAATTTAAAATTCTCTCAAAAAACATATTTTTTTCTCTGATTAAAAATCCTTGATCCAATCATTCTGAGATGCTAATTCTAGTGCTTCCATTCTCATGAGAAAATTACATTAATATTACACTTTTAAAAATACAAATTTCTTATTGCAAAATATAAAAAATGATTTGCCAAGGATAATTAATCGCGTAAGAAATATAAATTTCTTAATTGCAAAAAAAGAAAATTGAACTTTAATATTGTACCACTTTCAAATAGTTAAGCCCGGACTTAAAAATACACAAATTAAATAGTGATAAATGATAGAAACACGGTATAGCATTAATGTTAAATTAAATTTGTAAAGTGACTTATAATGAAACCCTAAACAAATTTTGTTTGCAAAATGACTTATAATTTGAAAGGGAGTATTTTGTATAACTTAGTACAAAATCATCTATTTCTACTCTTACTTGTGTCACACGTGAGAAATTAGAAGGTCCCTTGACATAAGCCAAATGACAGTTAAAATATTTAACCTGGTGTCATTTCATACGGACAAAATTTTGATTACTTTTTTTTATAAAAGGTAAAGCTCATAGCATATCAACTAATTATTAATAATTTGTTAGATACATCAAAATATCAATGAAATTTTTTATCTAACTAAGATGAGGCTACCCTTGATTACTAATTAATATACATTTTACTATCAATAATTAGGGCGATCAGTCGCCCACTACAAAAAATCTCAAAACACTGCCATCAGTCCAACAAAACAACCTCCAACCAAAACAAAGCTAAAGCGTGGCCAGAAGTTAGGACAAATGCATGCAACACTTGTCTGGTCAGTCATCGTCATCTGATAAACATACTAAGCCATGAGATGCAGCTTGATGCGATGAGTTAGCTGCAACGCTACTGCTGTTGGGCTCAATTCTGGATATGTTATCGGGACCCAGATCTGACAAACGTGAAATAACATTTGGAGGGGTTACAGTAGTAGATTGACTGCTAGCACTCCCATGTAATCCCATGTAAAGTAAGTCAGGAGCAGCTAACCTGCCTGCACTGTCAGGCCTGCGTCCGATTTGTGGATCAGACTGAGAGGTTGCCGTTCTTTGCCAGGATGGAACATGAGCATGAGAGGGAGAAGTTGTTTGAACGTTACTAGGAGATGTCTGGCTTTGAATCCCGCGGAGAAGTGGATGGAAACTGGAGGTTTGAACAGATATTTGAGGTCTAGAAGATTGAAGATGAGGTGCAGGGGCACAAGAGGGTGGAACAGATATTTGGGGTCTAGAAGATTGGAGATGAGGTGCAGGGGCGCGTATCTCACCACCAGTTTGACTACCTCGGACGATTGAAGACCTAGTAGTGTTTAGGATAGGAGTAGTAATATTTATGATAGGACATCTAGTAGTGTTTATAATAGGAGTAGTAGTAGTAGTAGTGTTTACAATAGGTGGTCTTGCAGAGAAACCAGAGAAAGTTCCTGACGCATTGTAACCAGGTGGTACCGTATTTTGTGAGTTAGGAGCAATGGAGGGGCTCGACAGACTGGTCGCAGGAGGATCACCAGAAGAACCAGAGATCGAGCGAGTAGCAGTTTGTTGTCTCGAAAGTTGAAGCAGCTGCTGTGGAATTGAATCTGAAATCAAGATGGTGGTTAGAAAATTACTCGAAACAGAAAACTCAGTGCTGCAAGCCAATCCACACTTTGTGATTTGTATGCCTACTGGGGAATAGAAAGTGTAAAAAAGAGACGAATGCAAACACACTACGCAAAGGAGTGCATACTTAAGTATGTAAACTTGCCACCATATCCCAATGTTGTAGTAATAATCCAAACTAAAAATAATAAATACCATAACTACTGAAACAGTCGGTATATGACTAATTTTACAAAAACTGCACATATAAAGTTTAGTTTAAAAATTGCCTTCTTAGAAAAGATAAATAATAAGAGAAGCACACTTTTCGTGCAAGAACTCTCAAAAACTTAAAAGTATCTGCCAACTCAGGCTTATTGTTTAGGTTGAAACTTGATCAGTCAATAAAAAACAACAGATTGGCAAGGAAAAATAAATAAACCACCAACACGGATCATAGTTGGAAAGGAATGGAAGTGAAATTTAGCTTCTGTCTCAGAGCTGTAAAAGCAATATTAAAACTTAGATGTCTATGAAAAACAAACGTACCATGCTGCACTCCTGATGCACCGGCTTTAAGATCCAAGCATTTAGACCTAAAAGCATGTGCCAAGATCCTACTCACACAAACCGTCTTAAGATTGGTTTCCAGAGTCTTTTTTGTTTGCTGAAATTCAACTTCAGCCTCCTGAAATTTAACATCATACTTTCTTCGAAGCTCCGCTAACTCCTTTTCAAATTCCGATTTCAGCCGCAATTTCTGTTCCAACAAAAATGCACTTCAGTAATCAGAAAATACAGAAACCTAGAATAAGTATCATCAGAGTAATGTTATATGAGTAAACCAGAAACTAACCGAATCTTCATTGTTTTTCAAAGATTGTTCTATTAATTTCTGTATTCTTTCAACATCTACTTTCAGTGGATCATAGGACAAACGAGGAGGCCTTCTGGAAGGTGAAGGGACTGTAGTTTGGATAGGATGATTATTCATTTCCAATGGAGTTGACAAATTTCTTGGGTTGGCAGACTGTGCTCTTACTCTACTGGCTGTAAGTGAATCAAGATCTGAACTTAAGGCAGGGTGCACAGCAACTTGATTTGAATGTGATCCATGTGCTGAATTTGGGTGTGGTTGCCCAATATCTGGAGTCACAGAAGATACCTGAGGATAATGATTGGGGAGATCATGTACACTGATCGGCCGATGTTCATCTTCAGTTGCTAAATGAAAATTAGACATAGCCAAGTCGGACGAGAACTCTGCAGCTGCTAATTGATGCACCTGTTTCGGAGGCATCGTGATTTGATTAGCTGGTACAACATTAGCTGAACTAGATGCCAGTTGAACTTGTTCAGAATAATTTTGCATTTCCCCAGTTGATTTGTCAGCGGCGGACTCCACAGATGGCAATTGTTTTCCTTGTTCTAGAGGCTCCGTGACATTAACTTGTCCAGATACTGGAGAACTGGTCACGGTTACAAGTACTCTTCCCTCCTGGTTACTTGTGGTACTATTATCCACCAATATAGCATTTGCTGAAGACTCTATATCCTTATGACAATCAGCCACTGTATGGCAATTTTCTGGCACTATAATAGGGATATCTCCATCAGGAATACTCAAGACCCCATCATGTATTTGTTGCTCCAAAGGTGGATTTGAAAGGGAAATGGTATCTCCACAACTGGTTGAACAAGCAACTTGACAAGGCCTTGAAGATAAAACACCATCTAAAACTGGCACACCTATTGAACTTCTACCGGATATTTGATCCACATATGAAGGGGGGTTCAGATGAGTTGCATTCTGAAGCAGACAATCAGTAAAATTGACGGCCGCAGGCATTTCAACTCGCACTTGACTTTCTGATACATTTACATAGTCCCCTTCATTATTAGTTTCTTGCACTTCAACTGAAATTTGCCTTTCAGGTACACTTGAGGGGACTCCACCACAATATTGATGATTTAGATGTGTTCCATTCTCACAAACTGACAAGCACTTGGTACCTAAACTGGGCATCTCACAACCATCTCGAGACCCATGGCCAAAACTTGCACACCTATTTTCTTCATCCGTCATGCTTGTAGCACCATCAGAATTACGTTCTCTACAATCTGGCAAGCACGAGGTATCTAAGCTAGGCCTCTCACAATCATCTTGAGACCTATGACCAAAATTCTCACACCTATTATCTTCATCTGTGATGCTTGTAGCACCATCAAAGTTCTGTTCTCTAGAATGAAAATGTTTAGAGATAATGTTTTCCTGACTGACATAATGATTTTCCGTTTCATTATGGTCCTCACTTCCAGAGACTGGTAGACGATTTGAAACCATAATGCCCACTTCATTAGCACTGTCATGCTTGCCCAGAGAATCTTGTTGTTCAACTGTTTTACTAACTGAAGAGGAATTGGTTTCAGGAACCATGCTCCCTGTCTCTTTCATGGGTTCAATCACATTATCAATCATCCGCGAGCAATCAACCTCAGTCCCAAGTTCCTTTGAAGCAACAATGCTTTGCAATTCATTTTTTGCCCAAGACTTCACATATTCCACCCAAGTTGGCCCCCAGTCTTGAGCCTTTAGCATATGAGCTGATTGTTCGTCCTCAAGTTCCTTGAGTCTTAATTCATGCTGAAATTTCAGTTCTTCAATACTTTTTTGCTGGTCAATATTCAAAATCTTGAGTGTTTCTGTTCTCGTCACCTCATTAGGAGAGCAGGACCGAGTGAATGCTAGCTCTATTTTGTGTTTTCTCTCCAATTCAGCCTGTTCAACCTCAATAGCCGTTCTCAACCTATGTTTCTCTTCATGTTGCAGAAGGCATATGTTATTCAGCATTTTTTCACACTTTTTTTTAGTTTCTTTAATGCTTTTGGACAAATCTTTCTTGAACAGTTCAACTTCAATCATATTAGAAGCTTGGGGAAAAGAAGTATAGCTACAAATGCCGGTACGATGTTTAAATATTTTTTTTAGACACCGCAGCAGAGAATAACTGTAGTTCACCTCTCCTTTCTTACAGTCAAAATTCAAATGTTGTTTTGCAAGAATAAGAGAACCCTTGTGGTCAAGTTTGTGCTTTTGCATAGCAGCAGCAGTCCAAATCTGAATTGGCACAATACAAGGAGGGATTACCAGTCACTTTCGCATGCTAAATGCAAGTATAAAAGAAAGTACTGTTCAATGTCACAGGCCTTTACATATCATATGCTAGAAGATATCATAATTGCGATAAGAAAAGTTATGTGGCAGTAAGATTCTCTCTGATTCAAATGGAATAGAAGAGGCATGAGAAAAAAAAGAGTGAAAGTTATATAACAAGAACAAATATTAAACAGAATGGGGGAAATTATATTCAGCTTTGCATCTATCATATGCCTATGTTTTGTCCATTTCTTTCTTCTATATTATCTTCCACAAATGAGGCTTGATTTTAGCCACCTTTTTAACAGGCTTGCTAAACTACTCAGAGATAAGAATCTCAGTTGAAACAAAAATTTCAAGGCAAACATGCAGTTGACTAGCCGGATTAAGTGCAAACAAATAATGGCTTTGGTGGTTTGCTAGCAACATAAAAATGTTAAGTGTGTGAAAAATCAACAAATTGACTATCAGATTTTCCCAAAAATAAATAAATAAAATATGCACACAATACACAAAATTAGGAAGCCTGGATAGTATACAATACAATGAAATAAAATTCCAGAAAATAGTACTGCTTGAAAGGAAAAGGTAGCCCAAATTGTATAAAAAATCACATATGACAGACTATGGAAACAATCAAGGATAAATAAACAATAAAAAACAAACAAACAAGCAAAAGACCAACTTTATTTAAGGGAGCATAAGGTATATGATAGAGAAGAGGGGATTAACGAAAAGGATGTCAGATAAAAAATGCAAAAAACTGACCAGAGATATTTGAAAAGCCTGTAACATTGACACAGGTTCCCTACTGACATGGTGATTGTTCATAACATACTCAAGAAAACGGTCAACCATCTTCTTGACATTATCCTGCATTACAAAATATATGATACCATCACATCAAATTCAAACATACAATAGAGCTCAGATTTCATTAGCACAAACAATCAGGTAATTACTCGGTGAAGCCCTGATACTCCAAAATCAACAAGGTATCAGTGTCTTACACATCCGACACTGATACGTGTCCGCTACGGCCCGATACATATCGGGGATGTATCCAGCAATTAAATTAAACATTTTAAAAGAGAATATGGCCGATGTGTTTAGGATACGGCTGAATGTCACAGCTACAGCACGGGATACGGTTGACTGAATCGGAATAAAGCAAACTCCAAAAAACAAGGTCTTTCTTTTATCAAAAATCAGGATTCCAGGATTTTGATTTTGAGAGTAAAAAAGAAAGTGAAACATAATAAGTAAGGAATGCAAGAATCAAAAACATGTGTTTGAATCGTTTGATCAAAAGCTAGGGTTTGCCACCCACAGCATCAATTGTGTCCCCGCAGAACCAGAACTGGAGTTGTTTCTTGATGATGGGAAAGGGGGAGAGGACATTGACACAATTAGTGTTAAGTAGTGAATATTAGACAATTCTATTGGAGCCCAAATTTCTTTTGGATAGTAGTAGTAATGATGTTCATTTTGCTATATCCTAATTGGTTGGGAAAAGACATGTAATTGTCATTTGTTTTGAATATTTAATAATGTGAATGATTCTTAGTTATCATTTTTAGTTTGTGTTCATATATTGTTGATTTATATATTTAATTTTAAATGTAACTTTTTATTAAATCATCTTAGCCGTATTCTATTTTGAATTGTAAACTTTTACCGTATCTGTATCCTATCAAGTATCTCCGCTTCATAAGGTAATTAAAATGCAATTTTGTCAAGGGATCAAAGCAGGAAAATAAACAGCGAGTAAAACAGAGAAAAACGTGCAGCATACTGGGAGAAGAAGAATTTCACAGAGCTTTGTGATCTGCGGCTTCAGCAAAAGATGTAAGCTCCCCTGCTCATCACGCGCACTGCCATTTCTCTCAAATCCAACATCATTACCCTTAGGTTTATCTGGCATTTGATCAAGCAAACAGTGAGTAAGGACTGTAATTCACATTGAATGCCTACTACACCAACACAAATAGTTGAACTAGGAAAGAATTGAGTAACTTTACCCACTAGATCACCAAAGGTTCCTGCAGAAGTATATTACTGGTTTTAGAGGATATCATAAAAAAATCAAAGATAATTCTTACTAGTAGTAATTGTTAATCTCATTAAGGGCCTGTTTATTACTGATCAAAATAAAAGTAATTTTTAATAGAAATAATTTAGAGATGTTTAGAAAAAGCAGAAACTGATGTATGTTTGTTTACAATAATAAAAATTATTGTTTTTAAGTAATTTTTAACTTGATTGAATATAATTACATAAAAGTGCTAATTTTCTACAAAATTACAAGAAATGACAAAACACATTTTTTTAAAAACATAATTTTAAGTATTCTTTGAATACCTTGTCAAAAATGGTTTATTAGGTTTTAATGATAACTCTTAATATTTCATATTTTAATATGAATGTTATGAATAACTATAAACATACGCTTCTATTAAAAAAGGTGATTTTTTCAAAACAAGCTAAAACAAATTAATCTATCAATAAGCTTCTATTAAAAAAGGTGATCTTTTCAAAATAAGCTAAAACAAATTAATATATCAATAAAAGGTCGTAACAAAGATGAAGTAACAAACCAGCCACTAACCTGCCTTGATTTCAGTAGATAACTTTTCACCTTCAGATTTCGATGAAGGCGGATCAACAATATTGTTGCTCACTTTCACGCGCTTCTTTGCTATGCCTTCATACACAAAGTCAGACTCACCTTCCAGATTATTAAAAGGCTGAACTCTCTTCCGGCTCCGTTGAGATGAACTACATGAGTACTTCCATTGAAACTGTTTCCCCTCCAATAGTTTAGTCCAAAAATTTTGTGGTGACTCTTCATCCAGCGACCCAATTTTCAGCTCACCAAATAAAGGAGAACTAGCACAGTATGTTCCTCCATTTTGCTGGACTTTCAATAAAATTGAGTGGTTGCTTGTTTCAGAATCTTCAGCAGCATCAGATATAAATGATGAGAACTGTGACACTGTTTCTTCCAGCAATGGTTTTGGACTTGACGTAGAAGTTGCACTATCAAGGAAAATTCCCAACTCATCAAAAAGACGAGATGCACCCCACATCAATAGTGTATGACTGAGACTCCGGTTTGTAGATAGAGTATTTATGTCCAGGGTCTTAGCTTGCCTAGCAAGTATTAACGCTTTCTCTTCAACAGTGAAAGCTGAATAAAGACGGAACATTTTGATCAATTCAAACTGTGAATCAAGTGTTATCTTCTGAAGGGATCTAATATCATTCATTGGATTCCAATCACTATCATATATAATAATAGTGTCGATAGATGACAACTTTATGCTAGGAAGGCAGGCACTTGTTTCCATCAAAAAGACAAATCGCTTATTATTCTTGTCGTTAAATTTCTTCATGGCAGCTTGCTTCTTGGAAGGCGAAACACCTTTATCAATTCTTTCATATGAATCCAGACCAAATCTTTGTCGCAGAAAGTCATCCAAAATATCTCCTATTGAATCCTTTCCAGAACCTCCAATAGACTGCGAATGCAAAAAGAATTTCTTGTAGCTCAATAATGACCTAATTTCTCTCAAGAGGATGAACACACAATATAAAAGAAAGTGGGGGTATTATGAACATTCTCTATGCAGTCACCGACACTTATGAACAGTGAGAAAATTAGAAAACATGGCCATGATAATGCCAAAAAAACACCACGCCTCCTTGCATTTTATTTGCTAAAAAGCAAATGACTGGACAATACAAAGATACTTACTTGATTTTTGAAAACTACCGTGGGACAACAACAAATCAAAGATAATAGATGGGGGAAAAAGTAGAAAAATTTGTTTCTTGAAAAAATCTAAGGATAACCTTTTAGTCTCATGCTCAACTTAAAAAAAACTACTTTTGCATCTTGATAGCACTCATACTCATGTCCCCTTCTCTACATCAATGGCTCAATCTTTCTCCGCCCCTCTTACCCTCATCTACTTAAAACTGTTTGTGTTGTATAATGACTACCAAATATAGAGAATCTAAAGTTGTCAGTGGTCTAGTTACTTAGTCTTATTTATTATAATAAAACATGTTTCTAAGTTCTATAGCAATGTTCTCCTCACTCATTCAATCCTAACCAATCTTAAAAGAAAACATGAACAGTGAGACTTTTCTTACTCTAACAAGTGAAACTTTAACTCTCTCAGACACACATATATACAACAACAAAAACAAAAGCCTTATGGTGCAAATGAGTCCACCATGTTGCTGCCTCTGAGTGTGTTTGTGCAAGAACAAGATTGCAAGCGGTGCGGGATTGTGCGCTTTCGGCAAAGTTGCCAAGAAGGCGCCTCCTATTGGGCGCATGGGTCATGTACCCCGGCGTGGGTCAAGTACGCCGTACACAACTCCATGAAGTATAGGAAAATAGTCTGAAAAATGCATACCTGAAAAAGTAATAGTGCCCTTAAATCATTTTTTTTCAACTCCTTGAGCATTGAATCAAGTAGTTGCAGCTTGCCACTTGCTTTTATTCCAACGTTCAGATACTCAACTTCTTCAAGGCCCTTGACTAGTAGAGTTTGCATGGACGGATCAATAACATATGGATGATTACAACACTGTCGAGAGATACCACAACCAGAAAATGAAAGCATTAAGAAAATTTAGAGCCATTTGACAGTTTTAGAGTTAATTGAACATGTAAAGGAACGCCATATCAGCTATTAAAAAAAAACACAGTAGCGTTTGCACGGGTGGATCAATAAAATACGGATTATTACAACACTGTCGAAAGATACCACAACCAGAAAATGAAACCACCATATCAGCTGTTAAAAAAATACACAGTTGTTTACTAATGTTCTAGCTTTTATTTAGGGAGACCATATAAACTTCCGAACTTATACATAAAAAAGATTTTAATAATTAAAAAAGGTTGAATCTAAACCTATTTTAATGATTGATTGATGAATATGAGATAGAGGGTATAACTCAAACAAATATAACTGGATCGGGAGATGAGAATTGTTCAAGCTTTATAAGCTCTATTTAGGTCATATCAACAGGCGATGTGATATTTGTACTTCTCACAAGTACAACCCCGCATTCAGAGCTCTTATGTCTTCTGCTTGAACAACTTGGGTGGCGCAGCAATGAGTCTAGGATTGGCTCTGATATCTTAGGCTTTCAGCCTAACCCAGCCCCACAAAAACAGCTTGAAAGGCAGGGTTGTCAAGGTTGAATAAGCTCCATTTAGGCCATATCACTAACCAAAGTAGGACCTTGTTCAAATAATGAATTGTGCATCTATTGGATTGATTAAAACAGCTATGCAATATTTTGAAATTATTTAAAAAAATTGAAAGGATGAAATTTTAAATATTGAAATGCATACACTTAAAGAATTATGATCAATTTATCAATAACAATCTAATAATAAATCGGGCATGTATTGGATTGATAAAAACTGCTGTGTAATATTTGAAATTGTCAACAAAAAATTGAAAGCATGAAATTTTAAATACTGAAATTCATACTGGTAAAGAATTATGATCAATTTATCAATAACCATCTAATAATAATAAAGCAAAACTTACCAACCAAATATTGCAGAATAAAACAAGTAAATATAAACCAATTATATATGATCTTATGCAGTCTAAGCAAATAATTAGAAAAAGGGCAACCTAACCTTACGGGTTGAAATAAGGACATCACGAATGGCCCCAACACTATCAACCTTTGGTGATGAGCAAAGAATTGAAGCGTTTGAAAGTAAAGTAGCACAATACTGCTCAAGCTGCACATGAGATATCTGTGCAGGAACCCAATACTCAACAAACCTAAAGGAGTCAGAGTTGCATTTGTTTGCAATATGACTTGACGATTTCTCCTTCGGTTGAACAACACTTTTATTGGAATTATATATTAAACCGCCTTTTTCAGTATCACTTTGACCATCAAGAATATTTTTGTCTTCCACAAAGCTATCCTGAAACGCCAGTAGGAATAAATAGGCAACAGAACAAATTTGAGTTTAGGGACAAGATCAAACCTATGCATATAAGAAACAAACCTTCTGGTGTCCAATTTCACTTGTGTGATCACTCTTATCCTTCTGCAGCATGGTTGCCTCAATGTCATCTCCGTCCTGATGCTAATGAAAAGATACAAAGAAATAAGAGACCACAAATGAACATAAAATAAATGTACATGGATTTACATTTGCTAATTTTGGTTTAAAGGAACGGGATCTATGTCTGGCCACCAGATGATTGTTGATTAATTATTAACCAGCAATTTATCATTAGTGTCGCAGACCCTGTTTTAATTTGATCGAGAATCCTAGCAGTGTAAGCCCTTTTTAACAACTTTTAAGTAAATTGAGAGATGTGGGACGATGTAGATAAAAGAAACTGAACCAACCTCGGCTGCACATGGGTCACAGGACTCCTTGACTGTAGGATAGTAATCTAACCTGCAAAGTAAAGAACCAATCACTTAGACCTGAAAACACACCTAATATGTCGAAGTGCCGATAAATCATTAGGAGCATATCAACAGATAAAGGGTAAATGGTATCATTCCTAGCAAAAGATTTTGTTCGTGTATTTACATGCTTATGTTGTATGTGAATATAGTAAATGGGTAGCCCTAGAAAAGTAACAAAAATTGGCTAGCACTTGATGATGGTTAATCATAATGAGACAATTTAAAGGCTGAAATACTTTACATATCGAAGTAAAAAAGGCTGAAATACTGTTACATTTATTGATGATCGTTGAAGTTATTAGTTTTAGACGAATGGAGAAGAGAAGTGATAAGAGCTTGAAAATTATAGATAATAACTTGATAAAAGCATGATACGAAAGACTACACTACTCCCTCTTAATAAGGAGACATAGACTTATAATCCTAAAATTGGTGCATAGATGTTCTTAGAATTTTATATTGGCTCTAACTCAACCTTACAAAATAGGCTTGTGAGGTGAAAGATGTCCAAGCTATCATATCTCTAGGCAATGTGGGACTAAATCCTCCCCTTCACACCCAACACAATGAAGGTGTAGGAAGCTAACAACAAAGGAAGCCCAAATGCCGCAATTAGACGACTAGGAGAGGATCACAATGAAGGTGAAAATTCCGACACATCCTCATGTTCGGGCCCAACAATAGATCTAAGATAGGCTAATATACCATCTTGTATTTTTATATTGGGCCCTAACTCTGCCTTACAAACACGGCTTTGCAAGGTGAGGCGTACCCAAGCTTTATAAACACTACATGGATTTATTGTGTAACACACATGGATTCCCATGTGTGCTTTCTCTTTTTTCTCTTTCTCAACTCTGCAATCAAATATAGTATTAGTAAGGACTTGGGAAGAAGATGCAGTGGGGAAAAATTTAGAGTTGCTGATAGTGATGACAATCACTTTCATATTAGCTCCTAAGAATATAGAATAGGCCAACACCGTCAAAAAGAACAGAAGATGGTTAATATGATATATCAAGCAGCATGTGTGATATGATATGTCAAGCAGCGTGTGTGATATGATATATCAAGCAGCATGTGTGATATGATACATCAAGCAGCATGTGTGATATGATATATCAAGCAGCATGTGTGATATGAACAATTCAATAGGAGAACTTTGAAATGTGACCATGAATTTGAAAATTAAATAGGAAAGACAGAAATGAGTGTATGAGCTTTGTAGTAAAAAAAAAAAAAAAGATAAGATGGTTTGATATAGGGGAGGAGAACAACAAAGCCAAACCTCATAAACACAATAAAAGCAACAGAACACGCCAAAAAACATGAATAACGAATGGATCTGAACTCTTACTTTACTAGAATTGATACTATTACTATCATTTCTTAACAAGTACCTTATGTGTTTGGAACATGACTTGTTACCACATAGCTTTGAAGGGAGAGCACCAAGGATATTATCGCCGTTGTCTCCTTTGGATAACGTGGAAGAAACATTTGAATCCATGTCCACTGTGATTACCTTTCTCTTAGAAGGTGTCAATTTTTCACCCCCGCCAAGCTTAACATTGTTACTGGCCAAGTCCTTGTCATCTAATATAGAGTTTCCAGATGTTGGAAATGTCTCCTCCCTGCAGCAATCAGGCTGTGCACTTCTAAATACCTCACTAGTCTCATGAGTTGGGGTGTTAGATGGAATAAATGAACCAGGAGTCACATTATTTTCTGCTAGACTCATTATAGGCCGACTCAACCTAGAGTCAATTCCGGTCTCTTTTGCTTTGGCGTCTTCAGATGGTAATGTAGCATTCTTTGAGACGTCTTTATTATCTGAACAACTTTGTTTAGGTAACTCATCAGTCTTGTCTCCACTACTTTTGTCACCTTCCTGATTTGACTTGCTAATCCTATGATCTAATATAGAGTTTCCAGATGATGGAAATTTCTCCTCCCTGCAGCAATCAGGCTGTGAACTTCTAGATACCTCACTAGTCTCATGAGTTGGGGTGTTAGATGGAATAAATGAACCAGGAGTCACATTATTTTCTGCTAGACTCGTTATAGGCCGACTCAACCTAGAATCAAGTCCGGTCTCTTTTGCTTTGGCATCTTCAGATGGTAATGTAGCACTCTTTGAGACGTCTTTATTATCTGAACAACTTTGTTTAGATAACTCATCAGTCTTGTCTCCGCTACTGTTGTCACCTTCCTGATTTGACTTGCTAATCCTATTAGATTTCTCAAGGCAATCTGAAAATCAAGCAATCAAAATATTGATTAATTAAATAATACCAAACAATAATTAGCATGTCTAACTCGGAAAGACTTCCACTTATAAAATGTTTGACATGAAAATGTGAATAAAAACAACTAAACCAGCAGATTAAGAAAAAGACATGCTAATGCTAGTTTCATTTAACTACTATTTTTATAATAACATGATAATGCACTTAAGTCTTAACATTAATCATCAATGTAACATTGATTTTTCTTAAAGATTGAGTTGGACCAAACGGCTTGTAAGGTGAGAGCCGCCCAAACTTTATAACCACTACAAGTACAACATACGTCATAACTATATAGCCAACTTGGGACCAAATTCACCCCCTTCACACCCAACACGGTGCAGGAGTTGGAAGCTGCAATGAAGGCAACCCAAGTGCCACAATTAGATGGCTAGAGACGAACTGCAATGAAGGCAGAATTTCCAACACACACCCTCGTGCTCGAGCCCAAATGAGCCTAAAGCATGGCAGTCCATTTGGGAAGCCCAACTACAGATATTGGATTGGCTTTGGTACCATGTTAGAATTTGGGTTTGGCCTAACTAAACCTTACAAAATCGGCTCGTAAGGTGAGGGTTGTTCAAGCTGTATAAACACTACACAAGTCATATTTCTAGATAATATGGGACTAAATCCACCCTTTCAGTCTTCACCTAATGTACTCCGTAGTGTTCAGTCTTCATTATATAACAATGTACTCCGTACCAAAAAAGCTAACAAAATATACTACATGCTAATGAGAGAAGAGGCTTGTTTTTTTAATTTACAAGAATGACGAAGGTGTTAAGTTAATTAAGAATTGATTGAAATCTATGTTTATATTGAACATAGGAGTTCAAAGCAGCCGGTTTAACAAAACCCATTGGCTTAATGGCGAAATGCCCCTACCATAGTTGCTGCAGTGTGCGTGTTCGAGTCGCGCTCATGCCATTTCTAGTAATTATTTTTATAATTTGAAGCATTATTCATATATCATTGAACTGGACCGTTCCGGTTTAGACCGGGCTAAAAGCATGAACAGTCCAATATGCTAACCAGACCGGACATGGGCCCAGTTCCCGGTTTTTAAACACCGTAATGAATGCAACCTAAATGTTGCAATTGGGCGGCTAGGGGAGGACCATAATGAAGGCGAAATTTCCGACAATTTTTATTATATTTGGATACCTAACAAAACTCACCCCCGGGTAAACAAGAACAAAGTTGGCAAAAAAGAATAACATTATGCAAAACACCAGAGTACCTTTCTTTTGATTTCTAAAGAGAGCCCGATATGTACGAGCATCCATTCTCTTAGATTTCGCCTGGGAAGTCCCTACACTGTGTTCCTCGTTTTCGTGCACTTCGGTTTCAAAAATCAATTGTTTCATGCTCTTCTCTTTTTGTAGCTTCTGCCTTGAAATTGAACCCAAAGACCCTGCACTTTTAGAATTTGAAGGACTAGAAGAAGAATGATTCTTAGTTCTTCCAGATCTTATCAAAGGACTTGGTATCTTCCTTTTCTCAACCCTCTTAGACTTCCTTCTAGCTTCAGGAGTTGGTAGTATTCTCTTCTCTACCTGCTTGGAGGTTTGAGTACTTGAAGAGCTTGCAATTATCTTCTTCAAAGGTGTTTCTCTAGGAGACTTTCTGATACCAGCTGTACCTGATACATTAAGACGTGATTTGATTTTTGCTTTCTTGCCACTTCGGGTCAGCCTCCGATTACTATTTTCTTTATCCTTAGCACTTTGTCTAGAACGAGTACTACTTACCATTTGCTTAGCAGAATATTTTTACTTTTGAAATCTACAGAATAATACATTTGATCAGTATCAGGAAACAAATACCAACGTACAATACAGATATCTATAGGCAAGTAGAAATCTTCATCAAGATTAAGTGTACATTGCGGTACCAACTACAAAGGAATATGTCCCGAATACAATCAATTGATTCTGAGTTGCTGACATGTCCCGTGGCTCTCTTTCCAGAATTGATTAAACTTATAGCTTTTGACACTAAATGTGATATTTACTGTTCAACTCACTTATACAAAAATTTATCCAAACATAAATCACTTTTAACCAAAATCAATTTTACTAGTCAATTCACTTAATATCAATTTTCTTCACCGCATAACGAAAATTGGATCATCATAAAGCAGAGTAGTAAAAACATATCACAACAAAGTACCATCACATCATATAAATTGCTTTACATCATCTCACAACAAATATAGCATCCACAACATTCCTTAATTCTCAGAAATTCCATAATCTTACCTAATATTCGGAATATTCAACCAATACAGAAAATCTAGGGTTTCAACGAACAACACAACCAAAACAACAATGCACCTAACCCTAACTAACCAAAAATTAGAAAATCGCAAATCGCAGTGTAATGCAGAAAACGCAAATTGTGTGATTCTTCTACCGTTACAAAGAGAGAAAGAGAGAGCGAAGTGGAGAAATTAGTAGTAGAGAGAAGTTTGAAGAAAAACCTCGATCAGAGAATCAAGCTGCATGGATGGTGGTTTTGGAAGCGTGAATCTTACAGCGACGATGAGAATTATGGTGTTCATTCCTCGTGTGATTTGAGAATAGGTTAAATGTATTTATATATTTCGAGATAAAAATTAGTATAGGATTTTTTTTGTGCGCTTTAATTAATAAACAAATCCTTTTTTTGTACTAGTGTATCCAAATCATATCTTTTATTGATAGGAAAATCATATCTTTCTCTCTTCAAAGAAATATAATTATAACATGTATCAAAAAGAATCGTAACTTACTATATAAATTTATATTGCTCAATTTGAGGGATTTCAAAGGGAGGACAGATGTGTTTCGTATTAATTATAAAAAAAAATTATTTAAATATAAATTTAATTTATTAAAATATTTTTAAAAAATTATTTTAGATAAATTTTATTTTTTCTAATATATTTTTTGTATGTTTATATTATAATAGTGTTAAATGTGTTTTTTTCTCTGTTAAACATCTTAAATTTTATTTTTAATCTATTTTATAAAATAAAATATTTTAGTCCTTACTAAATTTTTATGTATGCACTTTCATTTTTTACTATTTTCTGAAGTTAAGTTTAATTATTTTTAGATTTTTAAATTTTTAAATAATTTTTTTTACACGTGTTTAGAATATTATAAAATATTTCTTTACTAAATTTTAGAATTTTTTAAAACGAGAAAAATTAAATATGAATTTTTTAAATTTCAAAAGATAATTAAATTTTGAATTTTTTTATGAACTTTTTATAATATTCTAAACATGTGTGTAAGATAATCATTTAAAAATACATATTGATTTAAAAGTAGAGGCTATTAGAGGATAATTTAGTATTTGTCATTTGTTGGATATTCTCTTTAGGCCCTGTGTGGCATCCTTATCTTTACTATTTTTGTGTATAAATAGGTGTACTAGGTTTACATTTAATACAATCAATTCTCTTCAATCATTTGTGGCAGTTTTATAGCATTTATTCGTTTTCTCTTTTCTTCCTCAATTTCATCACCTTGCACCAACAAATTGGTATCTAGAGCTATTGGTTTATTCTGAAATTCTGGGAAACACGAGTGATAGTGAGCTGTGTGTTTGATTTTTGGTTCCTGATTTCTGTTGAATCTTGAACAAAAATCTGAAACAGAATCATATTGATTCTGTGGATTTGGGAAACACTGAGTGAGAATCTGAGATCTGAGTTTTTATGTAAGGTTTAAGATGAGTGGAGACAGTAGTTTGAACACTAAACTTCCAGTTTTTGATGGCAAAAGCTGGAACAGATGGAAGATACAAATGCGTGTGTCATTTGGTGCTCAGGATGTTCTAGATCTTGTTACTGAAGGTTATGTTCCAGTTGCAGCAAATGCTACTGAAGAACAAAAATCTGCAGAAAGAGCTACGAGGAAGAGGGATCAGAAAGCTCTGTTCTATATCCATCAGTGTGTGGATGAAAGTGTGTTTAAGAAGATTGTTGATTTGACGACGTCGAATGAGGCATGGGATATACTGGCCAGATGTTATGGTGGTGACGCGTCAGTAAAGAAGGTAAAGTTGCACTCTCTGCGAAAGCAATATGAGAATCTCAACATGAAGAACAATGAGAAAGTTTCTGAGTACATCTCCAGAATGATTCTGATCACTAATGAGATGAAAGCTTGTGGAGAAACATTTTCTGAACAGGTAATCATAGAAAAGATTATGAGGTCACTTACTCCTATTTTTGATTACATTGTTGTTTCTATTGAACATTCTAAAAATCTGGAAACAATGAGAATAGAAGAGTTGCAAAGCAGTCTAGAAGCGCAAGAGTTGCGTCTGACTGAAAGAACTTCTGAGAGGGAAGTGGAGAAAGCTTTGAAAGCTTCTTTTGTTAAGAAGGACCAGAAGCGGAATAGACGTGGTGATAAATTCCAGAAGTCAGAAACCTCAACTTCTGATGAAAAGAAATATCATAAGAGAAAGGAAAGGTATGACAATAAGAAGGTTCAATGTTACTGTTGTAAACAGTTTGGCCGTTTTGCCAGAGATTGTAGAAACAGAGGAAGGAAATCAGAAGAAGCAAATATAGCCAGAGGAGATTCTGATGATGAACCTGTGCTACTGATGGCTTTTGATTCTGATGGAAACTGTTCAGAAGATTGGTGGTATATGGACACTGGCTGTTCAAACCACTTGACTGGGAACAAACAATGGTTGATAGACTTTGACTCCAGAAGGAGAACAAAGATTAGATGTGTTGATGATAAGTATCTTAATGCAGAAGGTATGGGAAATGTCAGAGTCAGAGTGAAGAATGGAAAAAACATTCTGATCAAAGATGTTTGGTATGTTCCTGGAATTAAAAGTAATCTGATGAGTGTAGGTAAGCTTATTGAGAAAGGTTTCTCAATGGCTATGAAGGACAACCTCTTAACGTTGTATGATTCTAATCAGAAGTTGATTATGAAGTCTGAGCAGGGAAGCAACAGAACATTCAAGGTGAATGTAGAAACAGCTGAAGCAGAGTGTCTTAGTGCAGAAGGCGCTGAAGGTGACAGTAAGAAGTGGCACAAGAGGTTGGGGAACTTGAACTATAGAAGCTTAAGGCATTTAAGTTCTAAGAAGCTCGTACGTGGCATTTCGAAGATTGTGAAGCCTCAGAAGTCATGTGAGATATGCATGAAAGGCAAGAAACCTAGATTTCCATTTGCATCAGAAGTAGCCCCCAGAGCAAAGCATGCTTTGGGAGTAGTACATTTTGATGTGTGTGGACCATCTCCAGTATCTCCACTTGGAGGAAACAAATATTTTGTGTCTTTTATGGATGATTTCACGAGAATGACATGGGTAACACTCATCAAGTTCAAGCATGAAGTGTTTACTGAGTTTCAGAAGTTCAAGGTGAAGGCTGAGAAGCAGAGTGGTCAGAAGCTGAAGATTCTGAGAACAGATGGTGGAGGTGAGTATAACTCTACAGAGTTCCAGAAGTTTTGTGAGGAGAATGGAATAGAACATGAGGTTACTGCTCCATATACTCCTCAACACAACGGTCTTGCTGAAATAAGAAACAGAACTTTGCTTGATATGACCAGAAGTATGTTGAAAGAGAAGAAGCTACCTCACATGTTATGGGGAGAAGTTGTTGCCACGTCAGCATATGTTCTGAATAGGTGACCAACAAAGAAGATGAAGGAAATTGTTCCTTTAGAAAAATGGACTGGAGACAAGCAAAGTGTTAGCCATCTGAAGGTGTTTGGTTCTGTATGCTACAAACACGTTATAGAGGCTAAAAGACAAAAACTGGATGATAGAAGCAAAGTAATGTTACTGATGGGGTACCACAGTACAGGTGCCTATAAGCTTTATTGTCCAGAAACCAACAAAGTTGAAATCAGCAGAGACGTCATTGTGAAAGAGTCAGAAACATGGGATTGGAACAAGCTTCAATCAGATTCTGGTGTAGCGCCAACACCAGAGTTAGTTTCTGAAGATTCTTCATAAAGTTCTGAAGACGAGTGAGAGTCAGAAGATGAAGACTTTGAAGATGAGTCAGAATCTCATAGAGATTCTGATAGTGGATCTGATTTTGATCCAGATTTTGATGATGATCTAGAATCTGGTGGTGATTATATTTTTGGAAGGGAAAACTCTGAAGACATAGGGTATGGAGAACAAGTTTCCAGAAGTAACTCTAAAGGTGGTAATTCTGAAGGAAGTAGTTCTGGAAAAAGTCCAGAAGCTAGCATTGTTCAGAGTTCTGGAGAAGCTTCTGAACAAGTTCAGAGGCCACAAAGAATCAGACGAATACCAAGTAGGTTTGCAGATTTTAGCATGTTGCATGATATTGAAGTAGATTCTGAAGGAGAAATCGTTCAGTGTGCCATGTTAGTAGATTCTGAACCAGTGGGTATTGAAGAAGCTCTCAAGAAGAAAGTATGGTTGAATGCCATGAAAGAAGAACTTGAGGCTATTGAAAGAAACAAAACATGGAAGCTGACGAAGCTTCCAGAAAAGAAGAAATCCATCAGCGTCAGATGGGTTTTGAAGGTGAAGCTTAAGCCAGATGGATCAATTGGCAAACACAGAGCGAGACTAGTGGCTAGAGGTTTTCTTCAGAAACCTGGACTAGATTACTTTGAGGTGTTTGCGCCTGTAGCTAGACACGAAACAATCAGACTGGTGATTGCTTTAGCTGCAAACAGAAATTGGCCTTTGATACATCTGGATGTGAAGTCTGCATTTCTGAATGGTCTGTTACAAGAAGGGGTATATG